AGGAAGACTGCAGGAAATAGAATGCACATTAGCAAACATTTGCTGCCCGAATAAGAAACCGGAGATATATTTAAAAGTCCTGAGGAAATTAATGGATTTTAAAAGGGGTAATTTGGTTGTGGCAGGAGATTTCAACTTTTGTATGGATCCACAGATGGATGTAGCCTCTCCGGTGCAGAGAGAGAGAGTAGTAGGTCTTTGAAATAGCATTTTTTCAACTTTTTCAATGTCAACTTGTGGATATTTGGAGAATTAAGCATATGAAGGACAGAGACTATACGTTTTACTCTCCTGCACATGAGATGTATTCAAGATTGGACTACATAATGCTGGATCACAGGCTTATTGAATCCCTGGTTAAAGTAAATATTGAAGCCATGTCAATTTATGATCATGCACCCGTTACAATGCAATTATTATAGGGAAATGAGAAGAGGGGAGGGAAAATTGAGAAATTGAGCAATGTTTTGAGGAAAATGAATCTGAGGAAGTGACGGTGGCCACGGTGTGGAAAGCTCATAAGGCCTATATTAGAGGAATCCTAAATGGCAATAGGAGCAAAGAAGAAGAGGGAGAGAAGAGATAAAATAAACACGCTTTTGGCTGAACTCAGTGATCTAGAGCACATACATAAAAATAAAGTAACAAAAGAGATTATGCAGAAGATAATACATAAAAGAGAAGAATTAAATAATTTCCTGGAAGAAGACAAGAGGAGAGTGTACAACAGAATGACAATTGAGAGATATAGGTGGGGTGATAGACCAGGAAAATATTTAATGAGGGCTCAGAGGAAGAAAAAATCTAGGGATTTATATAGAGAAAATAAGAGATAATAAAGGAGAATTAGTGTATTCAACTAAAGACATAGTAAAAGTGTTTAAAGAATACTATAAGCTATATAATATTGAGTCCCATGGTATTCTAAGAGAGGAGGAAGTAAGAAAAACAGAAGACAGGTGTATATATATATATAAAAAAAAGCAGGATTGCCAAAATTAAGTGAAGAACACAATTAAAATCCCTTGAAATACCAATAAATCAAGAAGAAATACATATAGCATTAAAAGTACTGCTGCCGGGAAAAGTCCAGGACTGATGAATATACAGTGAGATACTATAAAAAAAATATGAGGAAATATTACTACCTAAATTGAGGACATATATGAATGCATTGGGAGGAGAGATGGAAATGAGAAGGGAATCCCTACAAGCTCATATAGTACTCATACATAAGGAAGGCAAAGATGACACTCAATGTTCAAGTTATAGACCGATCTCCTTATTAAATACAGACACTAAACTATATGCAAAAGTTTTGGCAAATAGATTGAAAGATCTAATGCCGGAATGGATTCATATAGACCAAGTAGGATTTGTCCCAGGGAGGGAGGGTAGAGACAATGGATTAAGATCATTGTTTCTTATACAAAAAGCAGAAAATCCCCGTGGTGGTTCTTTCGATCGATGACGAAAAGGCATTTGATAGAGTAAATTGGGGATTTATGTTAGATACTTTGGAGGTGCTGGGAATGGGACCTAGAATGAGGGAATGGATAAGGAAATTGTACAGTCAACCTTCGGCAGCAATCATGGTTAATGGGGAGTTATCAGAATATATCGGGATGCGGAATGGAACTAGACAGGGGTGCCCCCTGTCTTCATTGTTATATGTATTATCTCTGGAATCGCTTTTGGCTACCATCAAGAATAAATATAGATATAAAAGGAATATGGGTAGGAGAAGTGGAGCATAAGGTGGCAGCTTATGCAGATGACATGTTGTTTTATGTAGGAGACCCTAGGATAACATTGCCAAATTTAATGAAATCTTTAAAAGAATATGGCGAGATGTCAAACTTAAAGATTAACCCAACTAAAACAGAGATTTTAAATATAAACCTTCTACAGACAGAGAAAAAAAAGCTACAGGAGGAATTCACCCCCTTGTTTGGAGAGAGAGAGAATTAAAATATATTGGTATAAAATTAACTGTATCTTTAAAGAACTTATACAGAATAAACTATATTCCATTACTAAACTAAATTAATGATGAAATAAAGAAACTAGGAAGGGGATTTCAGTCATGGGTGGGACGCATAAACCTGATAAAAATGATAATTGTTCCAAAAATCTTATACAAATTCCAAATGATACCAATTAAGTTACCAGAGGAGTATTTTAGAATAATTAAACAAATTTTAACAAGATTTATATGGAAAAGTAAGAAGCCCAAAATAAGTTATGAAATTTTGAGTAGAAATAAAGAGAAAGGTGGCTTGGGAGTATCACACCTGAAAAGACTCAGTAATTTTGGCGAAAATTTATGATTGGACATTTAATGCACGGGAGAAAAGCTGGGTAAAAATAGAAAACACATTAAGCTACACGAATTTAACAGAAAACACAAGTTGGTTTACACGTAACGTTCTAAGAGTTTGGGATGCCTTACATAAACAAGTAGGATGGGAATATAATTCACTGTTAATGCCCTTAGGATCCACAGAGGTTTTTCCACCAGGTAAAGAAAGTATCACAGGGAAGTGGATAAAGAAGAAAGATGTTCAATTAAGAGATATAATGAAGGGAGAGGAAATATGCTCACTAAGTGAATTAGAAAATAAGAGGGAAATATTTTCGAGAATGGACGAATGGCGATACGGTCAACGGTCAATGTAGGGAACCCCCAAAACCATTAAGGAAAAGAGGACTGGAACCCCTTTGAGCACTTAGTAGATTCACGGGGAGATGGAAAGCACGGGATTTAAAAAATACATAAGATTCCCACAGGACTAGTCACTGTTAAAGGACCACCATTTATAGAGAAATGGGAAAGGGACACAGGAATAAAAATTGATGAGGGAAAGCAAAAGAAAATGTATAGTTTAATTCATGGAAATGTAAATATGAGAGAGGTAGAAATGAATTATAAGCATTTGGTAAGATGGTACATAAAACAGAGTGTAGCACATGGAATAAGTGGAGAGAATTCACCTTTGTGTTGGCGTGGATGTGGAGGAAGAGGTACAATGTTTCACATATGGTGGGAATGGTACAAAATTTAAGAATATTGGGGGGGTATTGTAGACTTAATCAAAGAAATAACTGAGATTAATATCTCAAAGGACCCAGAGACCTGTCTTCTTTATGGTACCGAGCTTTCAGTAAAAAAATATATAAAAAATCTGGGCTATTGTACTACTTGAATGCAGTGAAGGGTTTAATACCCAAGTACCCAAGAACAACAAGTACCGAAAATAAAAGATTGGGTGGATAGGGTAGAGAAGATGTACAGATTAGAGAAACTTTATTATATGGATGAAGACAAAATGGAGGTTTTCTGTATAAAGTGGGAAAAATTTAAAAAATCAAATCTATACCTAGACTGTGTACAAAAACTGTATTATTGAATAATATCAATTGTGGAATAGGAAGTACTGAAGAGTTGGTAAATGCATAATCAGGTCCGGGAGGGGGGGAATGGGGAGGTTTGGGGATTAGTGTAGAAGGGGTGAGGGGTAAATAGATTACTAGATGAATGGGAATGTTTTGATATATAGATATACAAAATTGAGAATATTTATATTATATGTATATGTTTGTTTTATTAGCTTTTGTATATATGAAATGGTAATCAAAAATTAATAAAATATTAAATGAAAAAAAAAAAGAAGTAAAAATACAAGGCATTTCCTAAATTGCTGAGATACGGTATTGGCAACTCTATCTACATCCAAGCTGGCCCAAATAAAATATGGCAAAATTTGAAGTTAATTTTGCCAAAGACATAAGAAGTAGTAATTTCATAGCAAAATCAATTTTATTAAAATCACTCCACTTATTTCTAGCTGGAACATCTACATGTCAGCATTTGTTTAATAGACTTCTCTATATCATTAGAGGTGCATTTGACTTGATGAGCTGTGTGGTCACAGTGAGCTGCAAATGAAAAGGGGAAACATTTGCAGCCCAGTTGGGCTTCCATGTAATGCTGGAAATACAAGATTGGGGGTGGCAGTACATTAGTTTGTGTGTTTTTATTCATACAAATACAATTTTTCATCATCATGTTTAGAATCTGAAGAAAGTGAAATAGCCTACACCTCCCAAACTGTGCTGCGGCAGATCAGTAGCAGCTCCTCACCAAGCAGTGCCAGTGAGTACAGCTTTTTACTCTATTTCATTATCTTTTTCAGCTAAAAGAAATCTTGCTAAAATCACTCTGCTTATTTCTAGTTGGAAAATCAATATTTTAGCATTTGTTTAATAGACTTCTCTATAACATTAAAGGGGCATTGAACTTGATGAGCTGTGTGGTCACAGAGGGCTACAACTAAAAGAGGAAACGTTTACAACCCAGTTGAAATTCCATGAGATGCTGGGAATACAAGCATCTTGGTGGCAATAAAATAATTTGTGCGTGTTTTAATGCAGATAAATACCATTTTTGTATTCTGTTTCATCATGTTCAGAATCTGAAGAAAGTGAAATAGCTTACACCTCCGAGACCGTACTACTGCAGATCAGTAGCAGCTCATCAAGCAGTGATGGTGAGTAAAGCCTTCACTCTATTCCACTCTCTTTTCAGCTAATATGAAAGGAAGCAAATTATGATAAAATGGTGAGGTATTTATGTGCAAAAGTGGCATCAGTTATCTAAATTAGAGCACACCTGCATTGCATTTAGCAGTAGGCTTCCAACCTACACTTTTGCAGGTTTACAAGTACGAAGAATCTCAGTGTTTTCTAAGTGCAAAGCATACAAGGTTTATTTCAGCTATTCAATGGATTTGTCCAAATGTGTACTTTAATTTGTTGACTTAAAGTCTCCATCCATTAAAAAGTGATATATTAATTTAACCGCCTCCTGCCCACCATATAGTCCAATGACGGGCGCAAAGTGGTTCTCTCGTTATGGGAGGACGTCATATGACGTCCTCCCATTTTAACCGCGCATGCGCGGCTCCGGGAGCACTCAGCGCGGCGATTGGTGGTGCGCTGTGTCCCTCGGATACAGCGGATCACCGATCCACGGAAAGAGCCGAAGATGTCAGCTAGGTCATGTGATCAGCTGTGTCCAAATCACAGCTGATCGCATGTAAACAGGGAAATGCCGGTTATCGGCATTTCTATCCTCACGAGCTGTCACGCTGACAGCTCGCGAGGAGAGGAGAGCTGGTAATCGGCATTCCTTGGAGGGGACATGTACACTGATCATCAGAGCACTGATGATCAGTGTGCCCTGATGATCTGTGTAGCCCCAGCAGTGCCATCTGTCAGTGTCCATCAGTGCCAGCTCTCAGTGCTCATCCATGCCACCTGCCAGTGCCCATCAGTGCCACATCAATGCCCCATATCAGTGCCTACCAGTGCACATCAATGCCACATCAGTGCCCATCTGAGCTGCCAACCATCAGTGCCAGTCAGTGCCACCTATGAATGCCAATCAGTGCCACCTATGAATGCCAATCAGTGCCACCTATCAGTGCTGCCAATCAGTGTCGCCTGTCAGTCAGTGTCACCTGTCAGTGTGCATCAGTGCCGCCTATCAGTGTGCCATATATGTGCCGCCTATCAGTGCTGCCTTTCAGTGCCCATCAGTGATGCCTGTCAATGCCCATCAGTGCCACCTACCAGTGCCTCCTCATCAGTGTCCATCAGTGCAGCCTATCAGTGCCCATCACTGCAGCCTCATTAGCACACATCAATGAAGGAGAAAAATCACTTATTTACAAAATTTTATAACAAAAACTAAGAAAAAAACTTTTTTTTCCCAAAATGTTCAGTGGTTTTTGGTTTGTTTAAGAAAAAAAATCCCAGAGGTGATTAAATACCACCAAAATAAAGCTCTATCTGTCACAAAAAAATGATAAAACTGTCATATGGGTACAGTGTTGCATGACCGCACAATTGTCATTCAAAGTGTGACAGCTCTGAAAGCTAGAAATTGGCCTGGGCAGGAAGGGGGTATAAGTGCCCTGTAGGCTAGTGGTTAAGCTGTGCAGACTAAATCAGTCTCTGTTTGTCTTGGATATTACTCAGTGTTTCTCAACCAGGGTTCCGCAGAACCCTTCGGTTCCAGGAGAAGTCCCCAGGGGGCACACACAGCTGAATCATACTGAATGTAGTAGGTTAGATCATAATAGCTGTATGTTATGCCATAAATGTACATATAGCTATTATGATCTCACTGCCTGCTACATTCAGTCTCATCCAGCCACGTGCCTCTACCTTCTGCTCCCCTCTCTGCAGTCTGCTTTCAATGCTGCCATACACTGGATGTCACCTCCTACTACATTAATCCACATGCACCCACTCTCTGCTCCCCCCCTCCACAGTCTGCATTCACTGCTACCATACACAGGATGTCACCTCCTGATCCAGCCACATGTTCCCGCTCTCGGCACGCCTCTCAAGTTAACAGGAGTCATAACTACAAAGGAGGCATCAAGTATCAATGCACACTGTCAGTGCATACTGAAAATAACAATGGGCAGATATACCTCCACCACAATATTGATTTGTGGTGGAATCACCTTTGAGAAACTGTGTTATGGATTTGTAGAGTGGCGCAGGGAAGCATACTGTTAATCACTCTACTGTTCCCCACAGGTCCTCTTCTTTCTGTCCCAGGCTCTTGTATGTGATATCACCTGAAATGGATGAGAGGGGGGCTAGCGGGGATCATGGGGGATAGGCATGTTACAACAGCAGCTTCCCTGCGCTGCTCTGCGTTTGTTTGTTAATTGTTGTTATATCTACAGCTTACTAATCAGATCCAATGTTTCGAGAGCTGTAGATCTGAAAATTTTTCAGCGGTTCTCCAAGATCTCTAATTTTTTTGCCAATGGTTCCTCCACAGGTTCAGAAACACTAATAAAGCCCCTTTCCAAAATGGCTGACTCTATCTCTGTCCTTTAGGGGGGTTTGGGTGTACTATGCATGTTCATGCATTCCACCATATCTAGATGAGTACTCCAAAATGTAAATAAAAATGGGAACCTTCCACAATAGCTACAGGACGTGTGCAGAATATGGAACACAGAAATCATACCAACAGAGTTGTGGAGAGATTTGGTGGATTGATCCTTCAGCATCTACCAGAACCTTCTGTTTAGAGGACCCTCTCAAGTTTTTCTAGGGTTTTTGCGTGGTTTTCATCCAATACATGATTAAAAATTCATAAAATATTTAAGGTACCGTAACTTTAAGGTATACATTTGTTATGACAAGCATAAGAAGGAGGTGCCCCAGCTTAGTGCATTACTGTGTGACTCTTTAAGAATAAAAATAAGTACTCCGATATACTCACTGAAGATTTGTTCACTCCAAGCCCCACAAAGACTTGATTTGGAGGGTTCTCTTACCTGTAGCACAGACTTGAATTTATTCCATAAATTCTTTAGACCACATCTTGGCCTGGGTATCTCAGTCCCCAGAACTTTGTATTATATAAGCTTTGGAGCTATCACACTGCACTGTCTTCTCATAGGTTATATGATGCAAAATTGGAGGACAAGCACCCAGTATCTGGTACCAAGCAACACCAAATGCAGCGTCCTTAGCTGAAGGTCAGACATGAAGGATAGAGACTATGACATTGCTAAAGTAATACAAAGAACAATATACTTTCTAGCCCCTTGAAATAAACAAGGCATATTGCCAAATGAATGGATGATTGCCAGAGAGTTGCTATGATCACTCTGATTAAATGATTATTAAAGTAAGTTTATGTACTAAATGACGTTAGAATTCAATTAAATGGGTTTTAAACACTCTACGTGTATAGAACAAACTTCTTATAAGAATAAAACACTGGAGACAGCACATTCATCTAAATAACTGCACAAATTAGATAAAAAAGGAGGGAATGGAGCATTTTTAGTGCAGCTTTTTTATGACAGCCGATGAAGCCTGGGCTTGAAAGGCGGGGGGTGTTTTATTTTTTACACAAAAACTTCAGATTTAAAAAGAACAGTCTTTTTATGCAATGTAACATGTTCAGTAAGACTGTTGAGATCCTTTTTTAGGTTGTTTTTAGGTTACTCAGGCCTTAGGCCAAAACAAGCCTGTATTTGTTCTCTATAAAGTCTCTGAGGTGAATTTATTAAACCTGGAGCAGACAGAATTTGAAGCAGCTGTGCATGACAACCAATCAGTTTCATTTTCAAAGCGTAACTGAACCAGCTGAAGATAGATGACTGGTTGTTATGTACAGCTGTTCCAGATTCTGTCTGCTCCAGTGTTGATAAATTGCCCCCTCTACAGTTGCAAGAAAAAGTAAGTGAACCCATTGGGATTACGTAGAGGTTTGCATGAATTGGGCATAAAATGTGCTCTGAAAGTCATCTAAGTCACAACAATACAAGAACACAGTCTGCTGAACATAATACTACACAAACATTAGATGTTGCCATGGTTTAATTGCACATAACATGTAAACATTCACAGTGCAGGGAGGAAAAAGTATGTGAACCTTTGGACTTAATAACTGGTTGACCCTCCTTTGGCAGCAATAACCTCAACCAAACGTTTCCTGTAGTTGCAGATCAGACCTGCACAACGATCTGGAGTCATTTTGGACCACTCCTCTTCACAAAACTGTTTCAGTGTAGCAATATTCTTGGGGCGTCTGGTGTGAATCGCTCTCTTAAGGTCATGCCACAGCATTTCAATCGGGTTGAGGTCAGGACTCTGACTGGGCCACTCCAGAAGGCGTATTCTGTGCTGTTGCAGCCATTGTTTTGTTGAATTACTTGTATGCTTTGGGTCATTGTCCTCTTGCATCACCCATCCTCTGCGGAACTTCATTTGGCGGACAGATGGTCGTACGTTTTCCTGCAAAATGTCTTGATAAACTCTGGAATTCATTTTCCCATCAATGACAACAATCCGTCCAGGCCCTGAAGCAGCAGAGCAGCTCAAAACCATGATGCTCCTTCCGCCATGTTTTACAGTGGGGATGAGGTTTTGATGTTGGTGTGCTGTGCCTTTTTTTTCTCCACACATAGTGTTGTGTGTTCTTCCCAAACAACTCAATCTTGGTTTCATCTGTCCACAGTATATTTTGCCAGTAGTGCTGTGGAACGTCCAGGTGCTCTTTTGCAAACTTCAAACGTGCTGCAATATTCTTTTTGGACAGCAATGGCTTCCTCCGTGGGTGTCCTCCCATGTACTCCATTCTTGTTTAATGTTTTCCTTATTGTAGATGTGTCAACAAAAATGTTAGCATGTGCCAGAGATTTCTGTAGGTCTTTAGCTGACACTCTGGGATTCTTCTTTACCTCATGCAGCATTCTGCGCTGTGCTCTTGCAGTCATTTTTACAGGACGACCACACCTAGGGAGAGTAGCAACAGTGCTAAACTTTCTCCATTTGTAGACAGTCTGTCTTACGGTGGACACATGAACATCAAGGCTTTTGGAGATACTTTTGTAACCCTTTCCAGCTTCATGCAAGTCAACAATTCTTGATTGTAGGTCTTCTGAGAGCTCTTTTCTGCGAGGCATGGTTCACATCAGACAGTGCTTCTTGAAACCAGTAAACCCAAAACAGGTGTGTGTTTTTTAAGGGCAGGACAGCTGTCAGCAACACATCCAATATCATCACACTGATTGGAGTCAAGGTTGGCTCACTCCTGGCTCCAATTAGCTCTGGGAGAAGTCATTAAGCTAGGGCCTCACATACTTTTTCCTCCCTGCACTGTGAATGTTTACATGTTATGTGCAATTAAACCATGGCAACATCTAATGTTTGTGTAGTATTATGTTCAGCAGACTGTGTTCTTGTACTGTTGTGACTTAGATGACGTTCAGAGCACATTTTATGCCCAATTCATGCAAAACTCCAGGTAATCCCAAGGGGTTCACATACTTTTTCTTGCAACTGTATATTTAAAGGAGATGTATGGAGTAGTATATAAAAAAAACAAACATACATACTCACCTCTATGCTGCAGTCACATGACTGCTGATCATTCAGCTCTCAGTCATCTCACTGTCAGTCACCGCTCTCTACTCTGACCCTCCACTACTCACTGGAGAGCTTGGCTGGAGAGGTCAAAGGCAGCTGGCTTTGGCTATCAGTGGCGTGCTGAGTGTTGTAGCCATCTGTCAATTAAGCAGCTGGGTGGATCCCAACAATATGGTCAGAATCCATCCAGTGGCTGGAATGTCTCTGTGAAGTCAGTTGAAAGAGGGCTGTAGCCTGCTGTCAGATAATTCTGGGTCACAGGAGACCACAAGTAAGTGCACTCCTGTGACCCAGAAGAGAAGTATGACCAAAAAAGCTTCTCTTCTACATATCTTTTAATTAAAATATTACAGGCTGTAATACAATGAGTTTTGAAACAAACTATCAGCCCCTGGACCAGCAAAAGCAATGTATTTTCTACAAAAAGGCTTATCAGTGCCGGGGCAAGGTCATCCAATGCTAAGGGTAAAGATGCCAAACTGATCCCCATCCCCTCCTTCATTCATGATGTGC